TTTTATTTTTATTGGCTTAATAGCATTACAACCGAACATAAAATACTACAGAACAAAATGTAAAATGCACTAATGTAGATGCTAATGTATGATATATGAATTAGTCTAGATGCATGTAAGGTGCTCAGTGAAGACATACCGTTATTTTTATATGATAATACTTTTTAGATACAAAATTGTATAGTTGATGGTCATCTATGTTTTGAGTTTTGAGGTAGACTCTTAATCAAAGCTGCTTCTTGCTTCGCAGAAATTGACATCAATTTTTTTTATTTTTTAAATGGAACACACTGTTTATATTGATATTTTTGGATACCTTATTAAATTGAAATTGAAGTTTAGCAGTCTCATGGGTCTTAAACCATGCTTAAACTTAGCGAAGAGATCATTTTATTGCCTGGCAATGGGATCAGATTAGATTAAAGTTCGAGAAGTAATTGGCTCGGACCATTTGCCATTATTGATAAAATGGAAGGAGACGGGATTTGAGAAAGGGACAAGGTCTGAAGGATGTAAATGATTGGTCAGAAAATGTGATAATGGAGTTTCGAAAACGAATAGGTGAAAGAATAGAGTTTACAAATGATTAGAAAGATATGTACGAGAATGTTGGTTGAATAAAAAGAAGAAAGTAGGAGTCAGTAGTGAGAAATGGTGAAATGTGTAGTACTTCCCCGTTATAAAGTGAACCGTTAGGACTCGACCTTCAGCTGTTACTCTTTTGACCATGAATGATATGCCTTTATGCGGTTAAATACACGGTTTATATTCGAACAAATTTGTATTTAAATTATGGGTTTGTTTTAATGGCAAAAAGAATTATTATAGAATTTTGGGTTTTATTTTTTTTTTTTGGGAAACGATTTACTGTCGCATATTTAACACCCCTTGTGCGTACGTATCGCTCCCAGGGCGTTTCAAAATATACTTCGATTATGTTCGTTACCACATTGTCATCCGTGATTACACCAAGTAAGAGAAAATGCGAACTAATGACATTTGTCAATATTATTTCAATTGTTGCTTTCCATTGCCTACTTTGTTTAATGTATCGCTGACTGTTGCTTTCAGGCATATGCAAAAAAACAGTTTTCTTTTTTGAAAATGCTAACTGAGGTTCACCACTTTAAGCTGCTGGTAAAATCGGTTTTAATGAAACTTAGGTGCAAGTTGTCTTCAATAGGTATACTATTTTGCTAATTACTATTAACCTTAATTATAGCTCCTTGTACTGTTTTACCGCAGGATAGTTTAAACAGCTTTTCTTTCATTAATTTTACGTAATTTTCGTGTCTCGGATATGCTGTTGTTGGTCCTACTTCGGTTTGTCCGTAACAATTTAAAAGTCTGGTGTTTGGAAACGTTTCGGCTGCTAAGCGGAGGTGTTTTTCGGTTACTGGTGTTCCTCCCATCGTTATTTCATTCAAATGTAGGGTTATGTTCTGATTTTGACAGTATTCTGTTACATCAACCAAATAAGGAAATGGTAAGAACACAGCTTGCAGCTACAAATGAAAGAAAACCATTTATTAGCATCTTATACACGAAAACTTTCAACATTACAATATTGAGTGAGAATAATCCTTCACAGTGTTATTTTCGGGCATTCCCTCCGGGCTACGCTGGAAGGTAGGGCGGAAGACCCTCTTCAGCCAATTTCCGTTTTCAGTTGGAGGAGTGCCAGCGGCGCGAGGGTCAACATTTAGACAACATCATCTTAATTTTCCAAAAGTGTCCAAAAATTACCAAAAAAGATTTTTTCTGACTTGTAGTTTTTGTAGCATTTAGGGAAGACGCCGGTTTGATTTGGGGTTCGTCTGCCTGGTCCAAGTTTTCTATAATTTCCTTGGAGCTCTTAGGCAAAGGTCGAGGCAAGTAATATTCCACAGATAATCTTTCATTCTCTCCTGTCTTCATTGCGTCCGTTTCATGTTTCCCCTCCGAAGGAGGCTGAAGAGGCTCTTTCGTCCTACATTCCGGCCTAGTCAGCATTACTGACTGGTGGGAATGAAACACCCAAAAGTTTAGTTTTTATTTTTTTCTGTTATTTTTTCTACGGGCGGAATAACTAGAAGAAATAGAGGAAATAGAGGAACGTGGGAGGCCATTCCAGCTTTACGGGTAACAATAGAGAAAACGATTGGAAAAAGAAAGAGTGCGTAGGATTTGCAGATTTATAAAAAGCCTTTGACAACGTCAAGTGGGACAAGATATTAAATGTATTTCAAAATGTAGGGATGAGTTACAAAGGTAGGAGAGTTATTTAGTTTGTATAAAGAGCAACAGGCAGTTATAGAGTTGGGGCTGCAACGTAGCGAAGTAAATATTTGGATGGGAGTCAGATAGGAATGCACACTGTCACTGCTACTTTCTAATCTATACATCAAAGACGCGACCAACATTATTAAAAACAGTACAACTGTAGAGATAGATATACAGGGGCAAAAGATTAGTATGCTTAGATTTGCAGATGGAATAGCAGTATTAGCATTTAGCAAGGAGTAGTTACGGATAGCTTTAAATAAAATGGAAGCGGTATTGACAAAACAGTACTGTATGAAAATAAGTAAAACTAGTTGTTTTATTGGCAAAATTAGTCTTGAAATGTATAAATTCAAGTAAAATAAAAATACTGGTATGCAAGGGAAGAAAAAGTAGGGAAAGAGCGAATATAAAGATAGTAAAGATAAAGTAGCCGATTTAAGGTATCTAGGAAGTCACATAAGTAAGAACGGAAGGAGTAGTGGGGATATAAAACAGTGGATAGCGCAGCGTCGAGTCGCTTTCAATAAAAAGAAGTTACTTCTACGCTTGCGAACGGTTAATTTATAAATTCGAAAAAGGTTGTTAAAGGTGTGTTTGAAGCGCGACGCTGTACGGGTGCGAAACATGGGCAGTGGTCGCGGCGGAAAAGAAAAAGTTAGAAGCGTTCGAAATGTGGTATTACAGGCGAATGATGAGGATACCGTGGATAGAGAAGGTTAGAAATGAAGAGGTATTANAAAACAAATAATAAAGTTTATGTTTTCTTTATTACCACATACGGATTGTTCGGGACTCATAAAAGAATCGGAATAAGTTACTATTTTCTCACGAGCGGACTGGCCACAATGAGTCTCGGGGTGAGAAAGGTTTTGATGTTGATGAAGGATCTTTTTTGCTCCAGGAAATTTCATAGGGTGATGGATAGAATAAATTGCCGATTTCAAATTCAATTGATAATTAGCTCCTAAGCATATTTCACACTAAATAGTACTAAATCAATCAAAATAATGCTTTCTTTAATGTATAATTGATAAAATTAATTGATTGACTGGAACGACAAACAACAAACCGCATATACGAGGGTGGATTGATAAGTTTCCGGCCTGACCAAGAAAAACAAGGTTTTTAAAAATTTTTTTTTTTTATTTCTCAACATAATCTCCTCCAAGGNTAATGGTAATTGTAAAGAATTGGGTCGTCTGGTGTCTAATCGCTTAAAATAATTCTCTTTTAAACTTTTGTTGAACAAATTAAGAGACAATTTTTTGATATTAATTTTTTGTGCTGCTGCGGAGTTCTTGAAAGTAAAGTTATGGTTGGGAACATAGACATAGAGAATGGATTGATCCTCACAAAAGTGACCACTCTTCAGAAATAACTGTTTGTCTCTTTTCTGCAAACTTGTAATAATCTACTGATCCTAGAGGACAACTTGACACGGAACGTTGAGTCCAATTCTTGGGCTTAGTACGCATTGACTTGCAGATGACACATTGACTCACAAGCGGTTACACTGACTCGCAGGTAACGCACATTAATTCGTAGATGACGCCCATTGACTCATAAGTGTTGGATATTGAATGGCAGCTGACGCAGGCAGTTTAGAGTTTGTGAATCACAAATCACAATGTCTTACAGGGCACCGGGAACTACAGTGTAGAGCATGGTTGTGGGTAGGGCAATGCTGCGCCTAAAATCGACTGCGAATAGATCGAATCGTGTATTCTGGCGGAAATAGTTCACAAGGAAATTCTCTTATTAGGGCATATCCCCGTAAGTTCCATTTTCTTCATGTATTCATAAAAGTGACCACTCTCCAGAAAGAGAAAGTACGACCAATATATGTCTGTCTTTTTCCTGCAAACCTATAATAAACTACTGATCCTATGGGTATTTACTTCACAACATGATACGGAACGTTCAGTCCAATTCTTGGGCTTGGTGCGCATTGATTGACAGTTGACACATTGACTCCCAACCCCTTACACTGACTCGCAGATGGCGCACATTGACTCCCAGGTGTTAGACATTGACTCGCAGGTGACGCGGCAGTGTAGTATCTGTGAATTACAAATCACAATGCCTTATATGACACCGGGAAATGCGGCGCAGAGCATGGTTGTGGGTAGGGCAATGCTGCGCGTAAGACGGACTTCGGATAGATCGAATCGTGCATTCAGGCGGAGATAGTTCACTAGAAAATTGTCTTATGAATTCATATTCCTGTGAGTCCCGCTTTCTTTCATGTACTTACAAAAGTGACTACTCTCTCTCTCAGAAAGAGACAGTACGGCCAATATCTGCCTGTCTCTTTTCTGCAAACTTGTAATAAAATACCGATCCTATAGGTATTTCGCATTTTTACCGTTCGTGGTATTTGAGACGGAAATAGTAATGTTTCGAATTCAGTATCAGAATTTGACATAGAGCTGAAATCAAGATATTTAGCCACAATTTTTGTTACTCAACAACTATTAAGCACACGTATTTTCTTCGGACTGCGCTAATCTGCTCTGCTCTGGGCGTACTGCGCCTCGCAGTTCAATGTGTGCCGTCTCAATCATGACATAGCTATCAAGAACTACAGTCCAAATTGGAAATTTATCTCTAATTATNAAGGTTAGAAATGAAGAGGTATTAGAAAGAATAGGAGAACAGAGGACTCTATGGAAGTCAATAAGAAATAGGCGAGATAGGTTGGTAGGGCACCTTCTCAGGCATGAAGGTCTAGTCAGAGACATATTAGAGGCAGAAACAGGAGTTACAAGCGAATAATGAGGATACCGTGGATAGAGAAGGTTAGAAATGAAGAGGTATTAGAAAGAGTAGGAGAACAGAGGACTCTATATGGAAGTCAATAAGAAATAGGCGAGATAGGTTAGTAGAACACCTTCTTAGGCATTAAAGTCTAGTCAGAGATAAATTAGAGGTTGAAATGGAGGGGTAGAGGTAGACCTACATTAGATTACTGTTCGCAAATAGTTAAGGATATGGGTTGTTCTAGTTTTAGGGAAATGCAAAGTTTAACTCAGGATAGGAAAGAGTGGAGGTGCGTGTCCAGCCAGTCTTAGGACTGACGACCTTATGATGATGATATTCGATATATACCTTGCAGTCTTGTGCAACTCTACAAAAGCTTGCAGGGCCATCATATCTTGGGCAAACCACTTTGATAAATCCATAGAGAATGTTTGCAATAGTTAAACCGACTTGTGTGACCCAATACAGAGATGAGTAGAATAGTACTTTCACCCCTTTTGCGCTGAAAAGAAAATTTCAGTTGCAGTCATAAGTTCTACATCAGTTTAAAAAATTTCAGGCATTTTTCCAGGTACAATTTTCTTAATTCATTGAATTCCAAAGGTAATATTTGCTAGGTTTCAGTAGTAGGTAGGTAGATCAAGAAACTATTAAAATTTATTTTGTTTATATGCTTACTGAAACTCAACCACATTAAATAGGATTTTATCTATATTAATAGCACAGAAGTAAAACACAATGCAGTTAGATGATGTTAAAATCTATATATTTAATGGTGATTATTTATAGATATACTAAATATAGAACATTGAACAGAATTAAGCACAAAATTGAACAAATATATATTTTACAGACAAAACACCAAAAAAAAAGTAAAGAAACATAATTTAAGTATACAAAACCACAACCGAAAATGGGTGAGAAAAGTGGGAAAGTGTTTTTCGACATAGTGTTGAGAACACAAAACAAAAAAAATTAACGTTATGTAAATAGTGGTAATTTGTAAATTAATATCCTCTAGATAGGTAACAGATCTTTTATTAATTTGTTAAATCACCATTGGGCTACTGCCAAGGTGCGTTACCTTTTATTATGGGTTGTTCGTTAATAGCCCTGTCATCCCACTAGAATAGAATAATTACAACATCACTAGATACATACATTTGTACGTACATACACTATAAAAACTATGTCTAAGTCGCACAAAAACGTTCGGCATTTGACATACTTCATTTGCAGCGATCGTACAGGGTAGTTTGATACACGCGATGTTTCATAAAAACCCCATACAAAGAAGTCCAGCGGATTTAAATCAGGACTTCGTGCCGACTAGGAAAATGTTTGTCTATAAACTCACGCAATGTATATGTATGTATGTATAATATGCTCTGACCTATGTTTTATCACCTATCACCTCCTGCAAGCTTTCTATTTATTTCAGAAACACTCTGTATTTTCGTGGAACGTTTTGGAAAAAGTTCAACTTCTATTAGAGTATACTACATATATCTATCAACGATGTCTGGGCAACATTTTAATTAAGTATAAATAAATAATTTTTCATGAGTTTTTTCACTTACTGCTTTTTCATTTGAGCACTGTTGATGAGGAAACTATGGTTTAGGCAAATTCCTTTTGGTTTACCAGTGGTTCCACTGCTGAACAGAATCACAGCAGTGTCTTTCCAATTTATGGCATCGTGTGGCTCAAATGATTCTTCTCCATCGATTGGAGCTAAATAATTATCGAAAGATTCATAATCGTTGGAAGGACCGAGCACAATAATTTTTGATTTCAAATTGCTAGCCTTAAGACTATTAACAATTAAATCAACTGAATCTGAACCGACAAAAATAGCTTTCGGTTTCAGCATTTGAAGAAAATGTTTGCAATCATCTTCTGAGAATGTGGGGTCAATTGTTGACGGGATAACTCCAGTAAAAAATGATGCGATTAATGGTACTGCACTATTTAATGTATTAAATGTACAAATCGTTACTTTGTCTTGCGGTATAAAACCCTCTTTTCGCATGTGTAACGCTGTTCTTATACAAATCGTTAGAAAATTGTTGAATTTATCTTCTTCGTGGGTGATACCGTCAATCTGAAACAATCAATGCACTCATATAAGAGCAAAGTAAATTACTTATCTATAGATGAATCGAAAGAATTAAAAAAAAGATTTTTGTATTCTTAAATTAAAATTAAGACAACTTAGGTAATTGATTCAATTGTGAACCTGTCATTGTCAGAAGTAAAAACAGGTTGATATTTGCTTGTTCCTTGCATTTATGTAATCAAATTTTCTTTCAGTACATATTTTGTTGACTTGCTTACCAAAAAAAATTTGGCTCCAATCGAAAGTGTAAGGCATAAGAGATACGCAGCACATAAGTTGCCTACTTTTCTGCTCTCAATTGCGCAAACAAGATTAACTTTCATGAATTAAGATTGCAAGGCTTTAAAATTGGAAAATTTGAGCATGCAAAAGTGTGTGGTAGATGGGCATCGCGCGTACTATTTGGTATATACAGAACATTTTCCTGGACTACGCTAATGATTTGCACGACCGTGTATGATCGCTGCAATTGAAGTACGCCAAATGTCAGACTTTTGTGGTGTACTTACGTACATGTGTGTGTCCGTTTACCGGTATTGTTATTAATTTTTCAATGGGAGAAGGGGGCTATTGGTGAACCACCCATTAAAAGGTAACGCACCTTTGCAATACCGCAATGTTGGTTTTGAAATGTAATAAAATTACGTATCTAAAAAATATAATGTTACCTATTAAAGTATACATAACGATAATTTTTTCTTTCTTTTGTGTTTTTTATGCCTTGTCGTGGTGTACTTTAAGTAGTAGTAAATAATACCATTCTGCAGTAACCTATGACACTGATACATTGACCTACTTCTAAAGACTTCAGCTGTCTACATACATACGCAATACAAGCCTACAGCGTTTAAAAAACAAAGAACTACTGTAAACTGGCTTATATAAACAAAAAATCGTCAATCTAATCTAATAAATTACAAACAAGACATCCGCAGAAGTATTAAGTAGCAGCTAATTGAATGCGGCGTTGCAATGTCGTAATTCACTGTGCGATCTTATTAGAGTCTAAATTGTTTGTTTTATAGTGCTCTATAACCTCCTGCAAGCTTGCTATTTATTTCAGAAACACCTTGTAAATTGACGAGGGTATGTTGGTGTATTCACGCCCTGTTTTAGATAAGCAGTGTTTTTACATTTGATATACAGGTATATTAAAGACTTGCATTACAAATTTAAATTTTAATAAGATTATTTGTTTTNCTAGCAAGGAGATCGGGCTGAAACTATAGCTACAAGCTATCCAAGGATGGTACTATAGAATGTCACCTCAAGGTAGGCCTAGTGGCGTCATCTCTTGGTTAGGCCGGAAACTTATCAATCCACCCTCGTATATGCCATGCCCCACTGTTTACTTTCGATTAATTATTATCTATTACACATGAAAGAAGCCATTGTTTTTGGTTCTATTTGCTGTCTTTTGATATGAGATATGATTTGAAATGAATGAATTATTTGACTTTGAATCATTTACTTCTTCTGTTTACAAAACACTATGTAAGTATTACAGGACTTTTCTGGATTTAAAAGAATCATAATCATCAAAGTAGGTAATACTTATTCTTTGAGATAAACATCTTTAGTTAAAAAATGGATACACTCATGGGTCAGGCAACTACATACCGAATTGCTTAAATTGCCTATAGTGCAGTCGAAATAAGAAGGCAAAGTCCCCAATAAATAATGCACACTAAAGGCATTTCGTTATTCTCGTTCTTGCAAACGGAAGATATCCTGTCTTTACTCTCTAAACACCCCTCCTTTACAGCTGCGTCGAGGCCTGCACCTACGTTTTATGAACAGAATCAATCGAATAAAATGAGACGATCGACAACATGCTTGTCTTGTCATTTGTACCTACATAAAATGGGCAAACTTACAGGGTCGGCTTAATTTAGTTGGTGTATTTGTGCGAATAGTCATCTCTCTACATTTATTGGTAGCTCATTATAATATCATTAGCCTAATATAAATTTCAACAATAATAGCAAAACCCACAACACAAATAACATCAATTACAACCAGAAACAATTACCTCAACAAAACAGAGAAATAATTATTCGTACAAATAAACCAAGTAATTTAAGGGTAGCTGTCGTGCGATGGGCATGGATTCTAAATTTCAGTATTAAGGAAATTATAATATCTTCAAAATTTGAAGTCGATTGACCTTCTCTAATTCGAGATAACTTTAATTATAGTTCAGGTCATTAACATGGAAAGTATATGCTCTATGTAGTAATTGTAATATTTTATTAGCCTTATAATATTTTGGTTATTTCCACTTTGTGTATATTGTGGTACCTACTCTTTCTTAAAATTTCATACTGTAGCACGACTACTACCTTAAGCCGATCCTGCAAATTTGCTCATTTAATATAGGTACAGACAACAAGACAAGCACGTTTTCAACCGTCTCATTCTATTCGATTGATTCTTATGAACCGTAGCTGCAGGTCTCGACTCAGCTGTGGAGGAGGCGTGTTTAGAGAGTAAAGACAGGATATCTTCCGTTTGTAAGAACGAGAAAAACGATATGCCTTTAGTGTGCATTATTTATTGGGGACTTTCCCTTCTTATTTCGACTGCACTATACGAACCATTACATTACACCATTCTGTCCCAATATTTCTTCCAATTTCTTCCAAGAAATATTAGATTTTACTACCAACATTAGGTATTAATTTATAATAACAATAGTACAATAAAAATCTACAATTCGGTACTCATTCTGTTACAGCCCTCCGTTTAAAACCATATTTTTTAAAAGCCTTCGGTCTGGTTTGCCTGTAGGACTCAAAGGTATTTCTTTAATAATTTTTACACCTCCCCTTAGCCTCTTGCGATCGTCAACTTTGTCATCGACGAATTTTTTAATTTCCGTTGGATCAACTTTTACGTCGTTTTTGAGTACAACTAAAGCAATCGGATGATCTCCGTCTACTTCGTGGGGAATGCCGAAAACAACTGATTGCTTAACAGCCGGATGATGAGATAATACGTCTTCTATGGAAGCAGGACTTACCGGAAATGATTTATATTTGAGCATTTCTTTGCATCGATCAACTATATAAATGTATTCGTCTTCATCATAATATCCGATATCACCAGTTCTGGTGAAACCTTCAGAATCATATGTGTCAGGCGAAATAAAATTGTAGTAACCATTCATTCTGTAAGCACCTCCTACGCAAACTTCACCTTCTTGATACGGTCCCAATGCTTCTCCAGTTGTTAGATCTGCAATCTAAACAGATAATAATAAGTATGAATTTTTTAAGGATTAAATATACATACAGGCCGAAAATTTTGAAAATTGAATATTTTATTTTTATTGGCTTAATAGCATTACAACCGAACATAAAATACTACAGAACAAAATGTAAAATGCACTAATGTAGATGCTAATGTATGATATATGAATTAGTCTAGATGCATGTAAGGTGCTCAGTGAAGACATACCATTATTTTTATATGATAATACTTTTTAGATACAAAATTGTATAGTTGATGGTCATCTATGTTTTGAGTTTTGAGGTAGACTCTTAATCAAAGCTGCTTCTTGCTTCGCAGAAATTGACATCAATTTTTTTTATTTTTTAAATGGAACACACTGTTTATATTGATATTTTTGGATACCTTATTAAATTGAAATTGAAGTTTAGCAGTCTCATGGGTCTTAAACCATGCTTAAACTTAGCGAAGAGATCATTTTATTGCCTGGCAATGGGATCAGATTAGATTAAAGTTCGAGAAGTAATTGGCTCGGACCATTTGCCATTATTGATAAAATGGAAGGAGACGGGATTTGAGAAAGGGACAAGGTCTGAAGGATGTAAATGATTGGTCAGAAAATGTGATAATGGAGTTTCGAAAACGAATAGGTGAAAGAATAGAGTTTACAAATGATTAGAAAGATATGTACGAGAATGTTGGTTGAATAAAAAGAAGAAAGTAGGAGTCAGTAGTGAGAAATGGTGAAATGTGTAGTACTTCCCCGTTATAAAGTGAACCGTTAGGACTCGACCTTCAGCTGTTACTCTTTTGACCATGAATGATATGCCTTTATGCGGTTAAATACACGGTTTATATTCGAACAAATTTGTATTTAAATTATGGGTTTGTTTTAATGGCAAAAAGAATTATTATAGAATTTTGGGTTTTATTTTTTTTTTTTGGGAAACGATTTACTGTCGCATATTTAACACCCCTTGTGCGTACGTATCGCTCCCAGGGCGTTTCAAAATATACTTCGATTATGTTCGTTACCACATTGTCATCCGTGATTACACCAAGTAAGAGAAAATGCGAACTAATGACATTTGTCAATATTATTTCAATTGTTGCTTTCCATTGCCTACTTTGTTTAATGTATCGCTGACTGTTGCTTTCAGGCATATGCAAAAAAACAGTTTTCTTTTTTGAAAATGCTAACTGAGGTTCACCACTTTAAGCTGCTGGTAAAATCGGTTTTAATGAAACTTAGGTGCAAGTTGTCTTCAATAGGTATACTATTTTGCTAATTACTATTAACCTTAATTATAGCTCCTTGTACTGTTTTACCGCAGGATAGTTTAAACAGCTTTTCTTTCATTAATTTTACGTAATTTTCGTGTCTCGGATATGCTGTTGTTGGTCCTACTTCGGTTTGTCCGTAACAATTTAAAAGTCTGGTGTTTGGAAACGTTTCGGCTGCTAAGCGGAGGTGTTTTTCGGTTACTGGTGTTCCTCCCATCGTTATTTCATTCAAATGTAGGGTTATGTTCTGATTTTGACAGTATTCTGTTACATCAACCAAATAAGGAAATGGTAAGAACACAGCTTGCAGCTACAAATGAAAGAAAACCATTTATTAGCATCTTATACACGAAAACTTTCAACATTACAATATTGAGTGAGAATAATCCTTCACAGTGTTATTTTCGGGCATTCCCTCCGGGCTACGCTGGAAGGTAGGGCGGAAGACCCTCTTCAGCCAATTTCCGTTTTCAGTTGGAGGAGTGCCAGCGGCGCGAGGGTCAACATTTAGACAACATCATCTTTGGTACTTAATTTTCCAAAAGTCTCCAAAAATTACCAAAAAAGATTTTTTCTGACTTGTAGTTTTTGTAGCATTTAGGGAAGACGCCGGTTTGATTTGGGGTTCGTCTGCCTGGTCCAAGTTTTCTATAATTTCCTTGGAGCTCTTAGGCAAAGGTCGAGGCAAGTAATATTCCACAGATAATCTTTCATTCTCTCCTGTCTTCATTGCGTCCGTTTCATGTTTCCCCTCCGAAGGAGGCTGAAGAGGCTCTTTCGTCCTACATTCCGGCCTAGTCAGCATTACTGACTGGTGGGAATGAAACACCCAAAAGTTTAGTTTTTATTTTTTTCTGTTATTTTTTCTACGGGCGGAATAACTAGAAGAAATAGAGGAAATAGAGGAACGTGGGAGGCCATTCCAGCTTTACGGGTAACAATAGAGAAAACGATTGGAAAAAGAAAGAGTGCGTAGGATTTGCAGATTTATAAAAAGCCTTTGACAACGTCAAGTGGGACAAGATATTAAATGTATTTCAAAATGTAGGGATGAGTTACAAAGGTAGGAGAGTTATTTAGTTTGTATAAAGAGCAACAGGCAGTTATAGAGTTGGGGCTGCAACGTAGCGAAGTAAATATTTGGATGGGAGTCAGATAGAAATGCACACTGTCACTGCTACTTTCTAATCTATACATCAAAGACGCGACCAACATTATTAAAAACAGTACAACTGTAGAGATAGATATACAGGGGCAAAAGATTAGTATGCTTAGATTTGCAGATGGAATAGCAGTATTAGCATTTAGCAAGGAGTAGTTACGGATAGCTTTAAATAAAATGGAAGCGGTATTGACAAAACAGTACTGTATGAAAATAAGTAAAACTAGTTGTTTTATTGGCAAAATTAGTCTTGAAATGTATAAATTNATAAAAATATTGAGAAAGTTATATAAAACATTATTTAAATATCTTTATCAATAGGGTAGGTTAGGTTAGGTTATCGGGTTTTGTTCAAGTGAAAACCCTCTCTCGATCCAACACCTCCCCCCGCTTGAAAACATTTTTTTATTGAATTTTATTTAAATTGTACTTAGTGTATGAAAATTGTCAAAATAATCAACTTACACCCATAACTTTTTATAGAGGTGAGACCGCCGCAAATTTTTTATGGGGTTTTACTCAGGTAATCACCCTCTTTCGATCCCCCCACCCCACCCCAGTTTGCGGTGGGAGCCATCATCTACCCTCCATAACTTTTTATGAGGGTGAGACCGCCACGAACTTTTTATGGTACAGTGGTGGGGGAGCTTCCTCTTTCGATCCCCCCATCCCCACCCCTTCGGGGGTGAGGGCCATCATCTGGACCTTTACCAAAAAAATATATTTCCGAAGGGTTAAAAATGAAAACAATTCAATGTAAGCAGGACTTACCGGAAATGATTTATATTTCAGCATTTCTTTGCATCGATCAATGATATAAATGTATTCGTCTTCATCGTAATATCCGATATCTCCGGTTCTGGTGAAACCTTCAGGATCATATGTGTCAGGCGAAATAAAGTTGTAGTAACCATTCATTCTGTAAGCACCCCCTACGCAAATCTCACCTTCTTGGTAGGGTCCCAATGATTCTCCAGTTGTTAGATCTGCAATCTAAATAGACAATAAATGCGGATTAGTAGTAATACCAACGATTAGACATAGGTAGAAATTTTTAAAAATTGAAGAATCGTAAAATACTACAAAACAAAATGTAAAATGCACTAACGTAGATGCTAATGTATGACATATTATTTAGTCTAGATGTATGTAGGGTGCTCGATGAAGACATGTTATAACTTTTAATAATATGATAAAACTCCTAGGGATAAAGTTGGACAGTTGATTGTCATCTATGTTTTGGGATAGATGCTCAATCAATGCTGCTTCCCGTTTCACCGGTACTGATATCACTTTTTTCATTTTTTAAACGGAACACCCTGTTTTTAGAAGCCTATCGTTAAATTGTCATTGTAAAGTTGTGGTTTCCTGGGATAGCAGTGCCATTATAAATATTACGGCCGTTATAGCGTTGGCCGCAGATGTAAAGATTTGCCGCTTTTCGGAAGTACATGGTTATGATACACGCGCCGGCGGCTTCTTTTGAAATCTAAAACAATCGTTGCCGCCAAGCTGAAATCATAACATTTGACACTATTTGATTGCCGCCATAGGGTGTAGGTATACTCATGCAAAATAATTTCGAATTTTTTTACACGCTTTATATTATTGTTTGATTTGCGGCGGCATCCTTATCATAGAGCCGGCACGTGGCGAGGCGGCGCGGTAGAAAGCAAGGATCATAAATGTTTATTAAGAAACAGTTACTTCCATGGAAAACGACATATAGGTCAGTTGATTTTTCGAATTTCTTATCAAATCTTCAGTTATTTATTAATCTGCTTGATCTTTACTATGGCTATATTCATTCAAGCTCACAATGTTCCAATTCTAATACGTTTTTCTAGGATTTAAAGTAAACTTTAATAAATAGTAATAGACTAATAGGTAATTGCAAGACTTGCAAGACTCTTGCTGCAAGACCAAGACCAAGACCAAGACTGGGAGCGCAAGACCAAGACCAAGACCAAGACCAGGTGTATTGGCGCAAGACCAAGACCAAGACTGGCTAAGTCTCGTCTTGTTCTTGCGTTTGGGCAACACTAGT